GACGGGCGACCCTATCCAAGAGAACTCCTCCCTATATAGATTAGGGAGTTGAGTAAATCCCACAATGCCGCAGAAAGGCCAATTTAGACATAATATTTGTGTAAAACACAAATATTGAGACAACCTCCCTTTTTGAGTTTATTACCCGACTGCGACGAAAAGTCGCCATTTATATGTTAAACGCCTTTTACTATCAAGGGGCCCAGGACCACCACACTGTAGTGTGCCGTGGGGAATGTCCGGGTAAAGGGGGTTTACCCCGAGGCCCGATACCTGCTGGGCAGAAATACCATGCAGAAGACAACAGCGTAGCTCAAGCGCTTGCGCCCTCCTTTCTGCCAAGGAGGGTCGCGTCCGTATACGGCTTAGAGATCTCTCGTCAGATCGGTAAGCCAATCCATAAAGGCGGTGTTTAGTGGGTAAAAGTCTTCACTTCTTCTTTCGGTTCTCTACACTAATTATATGTAACTTAGCAGCATTAAGCTGCTATTAAACGCTGGTAAGCCGGTTTCCGAAAATGCTTTAGTACCATAGGCCACATACATACCCTTCGGCAAATCGTACAGAAGTCCGAAGAGTACATCTGCCACTTTGCCTGGCGTATGTGGACTATAAGAAAGCCTTTGATTCCGTCGAAATTCGGGCGGTGCTACAGTCTCTTCAGCGATGCCTAGTTGACTATCGGTATATCGAAGAGCTGAAGTGTTTGTTAATGAAATAATAAAACTCGCTTGGTGGTTTGCAACAGACTAACCTTTATTTATGGTCACCTATAACAGAGTAGGCAGATTTACACTCATATACCAATAGATGGCGTTAGTAGTATGATATTTTGTTATTAAGTTACAATTTATTTATAACACCCTCTCTTAACAAAATATCCCGATAATTGCACAAGTTTTAAGAATTTAGTTTACAAATGGTTATAAGTATTTTACAATTAAAACAATTTTATAAACTACATACTTATTTTAATTTACTTCCCCTATTCCCATCAGATCTATAAATTTGTAATGTTTATTTGCACAAAGTGCTTTAGTAAATATATGCTGGTACACAAGAGGTTGGTACGTAACTAATCTTGATTTTATTATTCACCACACATTCTCTAGTAAAATGATGGCGTACATCAATATGCTTAGTGCGTTTGTGGAACATCGGATTAGAAGCCAAATTTAAAGAACTTTGACTGTCACTGTACACGCTTAAAGGTTCATTTTTACCATACATACAGTTCTAACATTACATTTTCAAATAAATTGCTTATTCACAAGCCTCTGCAAGCGCCATATACTCGGCCTCAGTATTAGACAGGGCAACTATTCTTTGCTTTCGAGACTCATAACTTATCACACAAACTGACAATATAAAACAGTAGCCTGTATATCAATGTTACAAGATGCTCGGTCGGCATCAACAAAACCATATAAATCAGTACTATTTTTCTTGAAAATTAAGCCAAAATTTTTAGTTTTTTGCAAATATCTTAACAATCTTTTCAAATGTTTCCAATGTGTTTTGTTATAACTTGTGTTATATTGGCTCAGAAAGCTTACACTATAGGAAATATCTGACCTTGTGAGAACTGAAAGATACATCAGTGATCCAACCAATTGTTCATAAGGATAAGTCTTATAAGATAATGGTCATTATCGACTCTTTCTAATTTTTTTTGGATTATTGGAGTATCTGAAGTTTTGCAATCAGTCATATTAAATCTTATCAAAATATTGTCAATGAATTTCTCTTGGTCCAAGGTTACATAATTATTTTGAACATTTACATTCATGCCAAGGCAATTTTTTGTTTGACCCAAATCTTTAATTTTGAAATCTGACTCTAATACACTTATCAACCCTTTGTAAGTTTTATTGCAGTTGTAAAAAAAATCATCAACAAATACAGCTACATAAACTTTTAAATTATTATGACATTTCATGAATAGACAAGGTTCATATTTAGATTTCTTAAAACCTAACTTTAACAAACTGGATTCCACTTTTATGTACCAGGCCCTAGCCGACTGACTTTTAGCCCATAATATAAATCCACTAAAACCCACGTATCATTGTCCCTAAAAGATTTCAGTTCTTCTTGTATATCCCTGCACCAATGCTCCCTTTATGGTCCCATGAGAGCGTCCTGTAAAGATATTTGTTCACTAGTAAAGTCTTCAACACACATGTTGGAAAAACCATACCTCTCTGGTACACGACGAACACACTTCTCTTCTTGAATGACAGCATCACTCTGAGTAGCGACCAAACTATCATCTGTTCAGCACTCATTATATTCGTCAACCTGATCACTTGACGAATTACTTGTAATATATGTTGGTTCTTCTCTGTCTGATCTCTCATTGTCTTCAATGCTTATTGAATTTTCCTCTTCAGCACCTGTATTCTTTTCTATATCTTTGTCTGGCGCCCTCTCTTCAACCATAACCTCTACTGTGTCATTCATATCACTTTTCATGACCACTACATCCCGTGCCACAGTAATTTTATTTGTTTTCAGGTCATATAACCTGTAGCCTTTGGTATTTTCTGAATACCCAACCAAATGTAACATTTGTGATTTTTTATCACATTTGTTACGTCTCACTGATGGAATGTGGACCATAACTGGACTCCCAAACACTAATATGTTGTAGATCGGGTTTTCTGTCAGTCCACATCTCATATGGGGTAGTATTATTGTCCAAAACTGCTGCTGGTATTCGATTTTTCAAATATACTGCCGTATTCACAGCTTCGGCCCATAGGTGTTTGTCGAATGAATCGTCATGCAGAAGACAGAGTGCTTTTTCTACAATTGAACTATTGTAACTTTCACTTAAGCCATTCTGTTCCGGTGTAGAGGGAACTGTCCTTTGATGAACTATCCCATGTCGCTTTAAGTAATTTTCCATCTCAATGAGCAGAATTCCCCGCCGTTATCGGACCGCAATATCTTAATCCGTTGTGACTGCTGATTCTCTACCTGCTCTTTGAATTCACGAAAATACTTAAAAGTCTCATTCTTTTCCTTTAGAAAGTAAACAAAGCACATCTATAATCTTCAATAAACAACAGATAGTATCTACACAGGTCTATATAAACCACATCTAGGACTCTGCTGCTCATGCTGGTACTAGTAGAGAAAGGCAGCCTGCTTTGTTTGCCTTCGCAGCAAACTACACAATTTGATTTGCTTATATTCTGATTTTTTCTCGTAAGTTACACCTTCGACGTCATTGTAGTGCGGACTTTTCTATCCAGGACGTTAAGTTCAGTCTGAGTCCACCTGAGTATGCCAAAGGTATACATACATGAGAACAGACATGACCCAGCCGTTATATGCGTGTGTCTTATTCACATCGGACAAAAGGTAAACAATTTGGTCAAGCGTGCATAAAACACGTCGCAAACTGACTGTTTCATACCAGCCTTATCGATACCGATGTTCTGTGACATACCCAGCTATAGGTATGTTTCAGCCTCGGAAAGGGTCCTTAAGTTGACGGGCATAGATAAGTCTATTCCCTCCGAGTTAGCAAACCTTCCCTTTTCAACATGGAGGATCGCACACTTATCCGTCCCCAGCTCCATTCCAATAGAATTGCTAAATTCACAAGTGATGTTTAGCAATTCCATAAGATGGAAGCCACTGGGGGTGAATAACTTGAGGTCAATCATATAGAAAAGGTGGGTCACTTTTGTACTTCCTTTCCGAAGCTGATATCCCCTCCCGGAGCCCTCTAGTAAAGTACTGAGAGGGTTCAGAGAGAGGCAAAACCAGATTGGACTCAGACAATCGCCCTGGAAGATACCTCTTCTTATCCTTATTTGGTTCTCCGCAGCCAGATAGCAAAGGATCGTACTCCACTGCCCCATAAACTGCTCGGTGAAGTCTCCAACTGTAGAGTCAATCTTGTACGCTGGAGGACTCTCTTTAGCCATGTATGGGGCACCGAGTCGAATGCCTTTCTGTAGTCTATCCAGGCAGTGGAGAAGTTCCGACGGTTGCGTTTCATCACTTTGCCAATGACCGCGTCAATGAGGAGTGGTTCCTTGGTTCCACGACCACCGCTCCGACATCCATTTTGAGCATGTGACATCACCTGATTTAGCTCCAGATGACGAGTGATTCTCGCGCTCAAAATGGATGTCAGAGTCTTACATATGGTGAGTAGACACGTGATGGGGCGGTATTTGCTCGGGTCTGTGGTATCCAGATCTTTAGGTTCAAGTGAGTGATCCCAGTAGTGAACAGGCTCGGGAGCGACTTCTGATCGAGAGCCTATTGAAACTGTCGGGCGAGCACAGCGTGACTTACTACGAACCCCTTCAGCCAGTAATGATGCAGCCCGTTGAGCCCCCAACTTTTCCAGTTCGGGGCCCTACGGAGCGCCTCAGCCACGTCTTCAGGTGTTATGGTGACGGGGTCCATAGACGTAACACTTGCACTCTGGCTCGCCACAACTTCTATCCAAAGACCCTCGCTGTGGTTTACGGGCTCTGACCACAGGCCACGCCAAAATACGACAGTGTCAGCCTGATCCGGTCCTGGGCCCGCTCCACATAACTCTGGTCATTCCAATGATTTATAGAGCCTCTTTTGATCACTCTGGAAGAGACGATTCTGGTTGAACCGCCTTGACCTCTCGCTTAATAAGCAACAGTAGCCTAATGGCAGGGCGCGGACCGTGAACTCAAAAAGGTCGTGGGTTCGAATCCGCCATTCGACTACTGGCGTGAACCACTCGTAACACAAGCAAATTAAGCTTACCACGAGTGGTTAAGGGGAATATTAGTAATGTTTATAGCATTGTTAATATTCTTTTTTTTTAAATCGTCGAATCCACTTCCCCCAAGCAGCGATTTTTTGCTTCAGGTCACCTGAGCGCTCCGTTAGTTTCTGCGTGATATCCGGCTGGGATAAACTAATATTTGTCCTAGCAAATGCCATTCTAACGATGCGCATAACTCTCGGTTTATTATTACCCGACCTGAAGCTTGTCAGTCTGCCGATAAGGGCCCTTGCCTTTGCAATACGGTCCTTTTTTTCCAGGCTTTGATGGCGCTACTTTGTTCAGTAGCACGTCCAGCCATGGGAAGTTTGGCGCCAGTAATACGGCATACTCCCAGTGCACCGCCAAAATGTATTGAGTCCGTCTCGCAAAGGTCCCGGCTGGCTTCCAAATAGGTCACCAGCATTGGGTTAAGAACCCGCACGACAGCCCGATTTAACTTGCTAAGGGGTATGCGGGGAAGTCGCGGTCGATTTTCGAGAGGCATGCTGCGCGTTTCCAGCATCGACTCTTCCAATATGCTCCTCATTTTCTCTGGTTCGTGGGAGACTATTTCATCATCGTCTGAATTAACCAAAAATGGAATATTGACGGCAGCATCCACATATGCAGTTTGATGCGCATCTAGTGGCGCCGCATTCCCAGCCGTAGCATTTCCATTCGATGAGAGAACAGCCTCACGTCGTAGTCGTTCGAGTTCGACGTCACCAAATATGTTGGAGCGCAGGATGTACCGAACTCGGTCTGCCAGGTTTTGCTCAGTGACGGATAGAGATGGCTTCAGCTCTGCAAAAAAGCGATGCATCCGAGCCCGATACGCCAAACATCCAGTTTATTCCCATTTTGCCCTAAAGTACGCCCGCAGTGCGTGTGCGTTCATTAATTGTGACCAACGCATGCGACGTCTTCCACCAGCGGCGGGTGCCGCTTGCTGAGTCCGAGAAGACCCAGCCAACACCAAGCCATCTGGTGGGGATGATGGATGCGGGGGGCTGCTAGGTGGTCTTGCAGCACCCCGCGCTCGGCTGGCGGCCAGCATAATGTCGCATTATTATTATTATATGGGGTATCTATACAGTTTTCTCATCTGTTTGGGTTCTATAAATATATAATTATAAATTAAAATGAAAAGATAAATATACATAAATATGATTAAAATAAAATAAATACAAAATAACATAAATAAATAAAAGCCCAATCAGATTGAAGCACTTGGCAGGGGAGACCAAACGGTCGAGGGTTAGGAGGAAAGGGAAAGAAACCGGCGGACGATGCGGGCGGTATCGAGGAGCACCGCCTTCTGCATTTGAGCCCGGAGCGGTCCGTCACGGAGTCCCGACCCGAGAGGCTGACTGGGATTAGCTCATTCGCAGAGACGACTACAGGAATAATTTTGGCCGGCATACCACCCCACATGTCGGTCACCTCGTGAGCCAGGTCCAGATATTTTGTTCGTTTATCTGTTTCGGCTTTCACGAGGTTCTTGGTATACGGAATGGTAATGTCGACCAAAAATATCCTTGAATGTGCCCGGCCCATCAACACAATATCAGGCTTATTCGCAAGAATAGTCCTGTCTGTGATGATGGCTCGGTCCCAGTAGAGCCTGGCGCGATCATTTTCGAGCACGACTTCTGGCAAGTACTTGTAATACGACACTTTCCGGTCCACGAGATCGTATTTCAGAACAAGCTCCTGGTGTAGAATTCAGGCTACTAGGTTGTGCCTGTGCAAGTACCAGAGTTAGAAAGCGCCGAACAACCGGAGATGACATGCCTAAGTGACTCCCCGGGATGGTGACAAGCTCGACAGACGTCGACAGTGCCATCCTTTCCAATAATTATCGGATATACATCCTTTATCCGATATTTGTTGGTCTTAATAACCTGATACTGTATTGCACAGACAAAACCCTCGGTTTTCCCGAAGAGGTCATCGAAACGTAGCCAGTTGAGGGAGGCGGTTGTATCTACGTGGGGCTCATGTAGAGCCCTGTAGTACCTCCCGTGGATCTCCTTTTTCTTCCATACGGTTACTTGGTCGGAAATGCTCTGTACTACCGGGTCCTGCCATTGCTCGATGGCTAAGGATAGAGGGGTAAGTCCCTTATCACTAGAAGTGACATCATTATAGAATGGATCATCCGATCTCAGCAGGAAGTAATGACGGAGGCTGCAAACTTCGCGATAATGCATGGTGAGCATGCTCAAGAAGACACACCCACCATGCTTTCGCGGCAAGTACAGCCTTATTACCGACGATCTCGGATGATGCATCCTATGGGACGTCATTGTAGTGCAGACTTTTCTATCCAGGGCGTTTAGTTCAGTTTAACTCCACCTCAGTATGCCAAAAGTATACATGAGGACAGGCATGACCCAGGCTCTATATGCGTGTGTCTTATTCACACCGGACAAAAGGCTGTTAAGCACTTTGGTCAAGCGTGCATAAAACACGTCGCAAACTGACTGTTTCATACCAGCTTCATCGATACCGATGTTCTGTGACACCCAGGTATCGGTATGTTTCACCCTCGGAAAGGGTCCTTAGTTGACGGACATAGATAAGTCTATGCCCTCAGATTTAGCAACCCTTCCCCTTTCAACATGGAGGACTGCACACTTAAATCACTGAAATCCCCTCCCGGAGCCCTCCAGTAAAGTACTGAGAGGGTTCAAAAAGAGGCAGAACCAGATTTGACTCAGACAGTCGCCCTGAAATATACCCCTTCTTATCCTTATGCGGCTTTCCGCAGACGTCATCCGCTGGCCCAGATGACAGAGGATCGTACTTCACTGCCCCATACACTGCTCGAGGAAGTCTCGAACTGTACAGTCAATCTTGTACAGCTCGAGGACCCTCTTTAGCCATGTATGGGGCACCGAGTCAAATGTCTTTCTGTAATCTATCCAGGCGGCGGAGAAGTTCCGACGGTTGCGTTTCACCACTTTGCCAATGACCGCGTCAATGAGGAGTGGTTCCTTGGTACCACTACTGCCGCCCTGACATCCATTTTGAGCGCGCGACATCACCTGATTTGAGTCAAAGTCATTTTTTATTATTATTATTAATTCGTCGCCTGGGTAAAGAAATCTGGTGAATACCATGCATATTCATGCTTACACCATTAGTGTTTTGGAACTTGACATTTAAAAGGTTTTTCTATCCTCGTTGTATAAGATTTGTCAATGCTTCTGCTGTCACGACCCTTGTTCGTCCCTTCCGCACGATTAATTCCGTTTCATTACCCCTTTAACGTACGGCTATTATACAAAGCACCCTTTCATGATTGTCCAGTTTGTATTTTTCTTTTAAACCTATTTAAAATACATACTTTGGTTGTAAGAATAATACATTAACTGATAAACTAATCGAATTTTATAATTGATTGACATTAATTCATTCGTAACAGCAATTCAAAGTGAACTGCTTCCTTTGACAAGTGGGTTGACATCCGCGGTTTTTTTTTTCATTATTTTGCGTTGTTATCAGGAAAATGCTCTTACGACAGCCACGGGATGGTAAGGGGTAGTGGGTTCTATTACGCAGGCACCAAACAACAATTTTTTATTTTACATTACGATTGATAGCATGAACAACATGAATACTATTTACTCATACATGTTCCGAATAAGGTATTTTAAAAAGAGCCACTTTGCCACGCGTTGTAGCACGAATTCGTCGGCTTGATTGGGATAGCACCATGAAAAAAGAAAAAACAGATTAAGGCTGCTGTGTTTTGTATGGTGAGTGTAAAGAACCAGAAACACTTTTTACTGTAAATAAAGCATTATTTTATCTTAGTCCTCAAGGGTGAGAACGCGTCGGCATTTTGAATCTTAATCGAGTATAAATGTAGATAGCATTAGGTAGACTGTGTGCTCGTATGCAGAATCAATTTACTATCAGGTAGACTGCCTGCATAATGCTCATTTGATACCCTTGTTTTATAAAAATATATACATTATTTTATCTTATTCATATTTTCCTGATTTTATATTCCAGGTTTCTTACATTTTATCAATCGCTACTATGAGGTTTGTGATGCAGATCTCTCTGGTGGTACTCATTTTGTTCTGATTATAATATTATTATCAATTAGCTTTTACCTGCAGTTTCTATAGTATTTAACGAAAAACCGATTTTTTACCACTGAAATTGCTTGTAAAACTAAAAGTTGCAACTTTAATCATTTAAATTTAAACGAAAGGGTTAAATTGTCCTATAATAGGAATAGGAAAAAGATGAGTCTTTGAGAAATGACTACATATTCATACCATTTGCTGTATATACTAACAGTCCGTGGGGTTCACGTGCGGTGAAGTTCCTATAGGAACTTAATCCGCGACTGGTTGTCGCTGCAGGTAATAAGAGGGCTGGTTCTTTTCTCGCTCAACGGTTAAGTATATCCATACAGCGAGAAAATTCAGCCAGCGTTCTTGGCACGATACCACGGGAAATAGAACTGAATGATAATTTAATTTATTAGTTTTTTATTATTATAGATGTTTAACATTATAATTTTTTCAAATAACTTAAATTAAATTAAAGAAGATAAGTTTGATATCGGATAAGTGAATTAAAATTAATCGAATAAAATTATATAGAGTACGTGGTATGAGGTCAGTTTTTCTTTTAAGGCTCTATTATAATTCACGTAGCGCACGTCATAAAACCTTAAAAACGGCAAGTCCCCGTGCGAGGATGGAATTACAGCGGAGCTTCTGAAAACGGGTGGAAAACAGGTACTTGAAGTCCTTCAGAGGTTCTTTAATTCCGTCCTCCGTGGTGGCACTACTCCGGAGGCGTGGAGCAGAAGTGTGGTGGTCCTATTCTTCAAGAAAGGTGACAAAGCCCTCTTGAAGAACTACAGACCGATATCCCTTCTGAGCCACGTCCACGTGCTGTTTTAGAGTCATTACGAATCGTCTCGCACGCAGACTCGACGACTTCAAGCCTCCCGAACAAGCCGGTTTCCGAAAGGGCTTTAGTACCATATACTTCGGCAAATTGTACAAAAGTCTGAAGAGTACAATCTGCCACTTTGCCTTGTGTATGTAGACTATGAGAAAGCCTTTAATTCCGTTGAAATTTGGGCGGTGCTACAGTCTCTTCAGTAGTGCCAAGTTGACTGTCGGTATATCGAAGTGCTGAAGTGTTTGTACAGTAGGGCTACAATGGCTATCCGAGTACAGCACCAGAGTACGAAACCTATCCAACTGTAAAGAGGTGTAAGACAGGGTGACGTTATTTCTCCGAAACTCTTAACCGCTACATTGGAAGACGTTTTCAAGCTACTGGACTGGAAAGGATACGGTATTAACATCAATGGCGAGTACATCACTCACTTCGATTTGCCGACGATATACTCCTTATGGCAGAATCGCTGGAGGACTTAAGCACTATGCTCAATGAGCTCAATAGTCAACCCAACGGATAGGTCTTAAGATGAACAAAGACAAGACAAAGATCAAGTTTAATGTCCATGTCACACCTATGCCGGTAGTTGTTGGGAGCACTACAGTAGCTCGAAGTTGTTGATGAGTACGTTTAACTGCGACAGAAATTCCGACTAGGTAAGTCCAACTTCGACCGAGAAGTCAATAGACGGATTCAACTCGGCTGGGCAGCGTTCGGGAAATTAGTAAAAATAGCTCGAATAACCGACAACCGTTAGGGAAAAATTCAAATTTCGCTAAAACGTCTACAGAGAAAATTGGGAAAATAAAACATTATTGTAACTATAAATTTTTAGATCGTACCACTTATGTAAACACGAGTAACGTATCTTTCCGTTACAAAGCA